TTTTTTTTTCCTCTCTCCAAGTGAGGACTAATCCCATCCCTGGGCCTGCTCTCTGTTCCCTTCCTGCATTAGAGATTGGCTATAAGGAGAAGGCTGACGGCTGCAGCATGAAGCGCATTATTACCTTGTGATTCCATGACCCTCCTCTATGCATCCCTAACTCTCGAAAGCTGATTCAGCTTTCAGCTAGTGCTCTGGTGAGTCCTCTGCTGCAACAGAAGCTCCTAACTGGTATGTCTTCTTTTTTTTTTCCCCCTCTCTCTTCTGCTCCCTGTCTTGCCTTTAACCGCTACCAGCTCAGCTTGGTTTAAACACTTTTCTTGGCCAATGCAGGACTTACCTGCCAATCCAACTTACCCGGGGACTTAAATGTGGTTTTCTGCATACACTAATGTATGTGTGTGTGTGTGTGTGCCTGTGTGGGGATTTGCTGGATGTGTGTTTAATCTGTGGATCGCTTAGGAAACCTCACCCCCCTCTTTTTTTTGTTCTGCTGTGGCATTCTCCGCATTTAAAAAAAAAAAGAAAAACAAAAAACCAAAAACTAACAAACTGCAGAGCAAGCAGTGCACTAGAATAATCTGAACTGAAATGTTAGAACTTTGACATGCAACCGTTCTGCAAGGTTAAACCGGCCTTTAAATGCCTAATTCAGACACAGGCTGGCTAATGACACCTGGGGGGATTGGGGCTTTATTTATTTATTTGCAACAAACTAGTGCTATAAGCTGATATCAGGCAGAGCAAAAGGGTGAGAGGTGGTTAAACTTAGCCTAACTTGCAATGATCTCAATGCTATAGTGATTAACTGTTAAAATGCCGAGAAATGAGTATTAATTACAGGCGCATGGTTTGTGGATGGTCAGGAAAGGAATATGGGGAGGAGGAGAACTTAGATTTCCCTGCAAGGATTTGGAATTCAGGTTACATGAAGTGTAGCATCAATTGACTGTTATTGCTTCTGCAACTCAGAGTTGACTGTGGTCATTATATTTTATATGATAGTGGTGGTACCTATCACATGAATATATAGACACCAGTTTGGTGAGGTGGGTACTGTGGTGCACACACACACTCATGCAGATTTAGGTACCTTTTATGGCATGCATATGGATATTTTATATGCATCTTTATGCATAGGTATATAAATGCTATATCCAAGCAGGTGTAATGTATCACCCAGACACAGCCCATCTCCAGGCTGTGTGGGGAGTGTGGATACAGGTATATATGTGTGCCTGTGCCTGAGGGAGTGTGCTCTGTGTAATTGTATAGGCAGAAATCCGTGATTTGTGCTGTCAGTTTAATTGCTGGGTTCCTCTCGAGCAGATGGTTGTGTCTGTGGCTCCCAAGGTCTGAGCCCAGTCTCTCTGCCATGGGCTTTGCTGGGATGAGCACCTGCCTCCACCTCATTCCTGCTGGCATCTCCCTTCTCCAGTGCCCAGCCCTACACAGGGGCTGGATACAAAGTCCCCAGAGGTTTGTGCTGCACAGCTTCAGTTTGACTTTGACACTTGGACCTGAGCAGCACCTTGAGCCCTGGGCAGAGCAGGGATATGATATACAGCATGTTGCTTTCCATCCCTCTCACCCCGCTCCTTCCCCTTTCGCCTTCAGGCAATACCTCAGGCTCTTCCCTCCCCTTTTATTTGCCCCTTGGCCTCTGCATGATCCAGGTCTCCATCCATTTTTCTCTCCAGAACAGCCACGGTTTCATTGCTCATGTTTTTCTGCCAAGAGCAAGCGCAGGAGCTCAGCGAGCCCAAGTGGGTTGAGGATAGTGGCTGATGCTCACCCACCACCACCCTACTCCTGGTGGTAGCTGGAGGATGGGATCCGCAGGGTACCTCTGATGTTACATTAAAGGCACCATCACGGCCATTTGTCTGCTCCTCCACCAAATGGCACAACCCTGGAAAGCATAAGATTGCACCCAGAACCTCAAAGCAAATTTAAATCGCCGTGATGAACTCTGCTGCTGTGGTTGTGCCATTGTCTTCAGTTCTAGTAAGGATTTATAAGGTCATTTTTTTAAAGCTCCTCCACAGGGCTCGCTTTAGGTGGCTGGCAGCTGCCATCCCGCTGGTCTGCAGAAGTTGGGGACTGTTTAGGACAGCCCATGTCAAATGCATTTGAGGAAATCAAATTGGGTACGAGGTCCAGATGTTTAACAGCCCAAGAAGTCCAGCGGCTGTCCTACTGCTGTCAGTCTGAAGGAAATTCAATAGCATGGAGTGCTTGGCTGTGCAACATCCCACCACCAACACTTTGGTTTTGTTGTTTGTTTGGGGTTTTTTTATAAATTTGAATTACTTAGACTTTCCCTCACACTCTTCAGCTCTCCCTTTGCTTTAATTTCACTGCAGTCATGCATTACACCAGTGCCACAGCTCCATCTCTCTTCCCCTTAATCCAAACTAAAGGTTGAAATTTGCCTTTAAATGAGACAAATAATGATGGTTAAAGGGGCCAACAAACTGATGGAATGAGGGGGAAGCTGCACAGAGGCATGTGCTGGCGTTGCATGAGGGGTGTGAAGCGATTTTGGGGCTTGGGGCCGAGCCCAGTGGATTTACACCTGAGCCCCACGCGGCCTTTGCTTTCCAGCACTGCTGGAAGTCGATGGGGCGCGGGGAAATATTTGCTCCCCAGCTAGCAGTGATATTTTAAAAAGCAGCGAGACGCATCGATGCAATTAGGTATTCCAAAGTGCTTAGTTTGCCACTTGCTAAGTTTACTTAAACCCTCTTTAAAGGGTTCATTAGAAGACTGCGAGGAACGGTAAAATTCATTAACACGGAGGCAGCCATTGCACATTTGCCTGTAAATTGGTATCGACCGGCGGCAGGTGAGGAGGCACCGTGCCCGCCCTGCTGAGCGAGCAGGCAGCGCCCGCCGTGACCTCCGCCGCGCTCCTGCCTAAATCCTGCCCATTATAGTCTCCCATTCAGCCCGGGCGGCCAGCGCAGCCCTGCCACTCGGCCCACATTGTTCAGGGAGCTTTAAAGCTCAGCACGGCTGCGAGGGAGGCGAGGCAGAGGGGCAGAGCAGGAGCAGAGGCAGGGCTGCGTGCGGGACCGAGCCTGGCGGGGCACGGCCGGGGCGCGCATCCCACGGGGGATGCGGGAGGAACTTGGCCCGAGCTGCCAGCACCTCGCTTTGAATGCCTTTTATGTCTGCGGGTCTTCCCAAAGCCCCTTAGCTGGCGTGGAGCTCAACCGGATGAGTTATTAGGAGCGATTTTTAATTATTTTTTATTTTTATTTTAAATGCCCTGAACGTGCCAAACGGCATGTGCTGTCTTTTGGGGGTTGCTTATCTGTGGGGGTAGTGTCTCGCTCCCAGTGACCAGCAGAGGAAAAATCATTGGATTCACTAGGTAAGATGCTTTCTTCTTCCTATGCTTTAATCTCTACTTACTGATAAAGCAATCGCGTGTCTGGGGCTGATGAGTTCTCTTACTCTGGCGGATGGAGCAGTCATTCCCGGTGGTGGTTTGTAAATCAGTAGCTTGCCATTCGATTCTTGGCTTTCTGAAAACAAATTGGCTTTTTGTTTCCAAATTGTAGGATGGAGGCAATTGGGAATTGACAGATATTTAACTTTCTCCCTCATGGCTTTGTCTGGAATGAAACCCATATGCGTGTACAGCAAAGGCTTTCCTCTAAACCACGTTTTTGTCTTTTTTAAATGCTAGAAGTTTATGATTTAGAATGAAACACCTACTTTTTAGGTGGAGTGGGAGGCTGGCTTTTACTCTGTGCCGTTTACGTTTCAAAGAGCCCCTGCTAGGGCAGCCACTGGACCTCTGCTGCTTTGTGTCCGGTGAATTATGCAGTTCCCCTTCCCAGGACCCAAAATCCATCATCTGCCGAGGGCTCAGCCCAGCATTACCGGCAAGGATGGGGAGCTGGGGTGTGTGTCTGTCTGCACATGGGCTGGGCAGGAGGAAAGTCTGCTGGTTTGAACTGAGCCGTAACTCACTCTCAGGATGTAAATTGTAAATCAGCGTTATTTTTCCTCCTGTGACCATATAAATGCGCATATTGAAACTACCTGCTTGAGAGACATACTTCTTTATATGCCCATATGAACCTGGCAAGCTATGGAATGTAAAGAAGTATGTATTTCAGGTGGGGATCCTTCTCAGAGGAGCAATGTGTGACCCCGGGCAAGGCGGGGGAGAAAGACAGACAGATTATTTTATATTATTATTTTTTTTAACTGCCTGACCCGGCAGACTGACTGGGGAGTCAATTGATGATCTTGTTCCAGCGCGTGTATTGTTCTGTCACTTTGCCTGTGTCAGCAGGTGGAAATGCTCATCAGGACATTAAATATTCAATATGCTGACTGCGGCATGGGCTTTGAAAGGCGATGCCAGAGGAAAGCTGGCTGTCCGCTCCTGGGTTTTAACAGGGAGGCAGGCCAATCTCTCCCTTCTCCTGCTTCCCCACCGACCCTTTTTACCCCAAAAATAAGGCTGGATAGCAAACAAAGCTGACTGATCTTTAAATCTAGGAACAACAATAGGAGGTGGATGGTGGGGGGAGAAGAAGAGAAAGGAAAAGGAGACAACAGTTGTGACTCGGGCGTGCAGTGTTCTAGCTGTAAATTAGTGTGCAAATTCCGCTTTTTGAACATTTCCCGCATTAAAACTTTCTGCGCTTAAAACCGGTGAGGAGGACACCTTCCTTGTCAGTGTGGTGAGCCATCGAGTCAGCAGATGACAGCGAAAGCCAGAGGAGTGCCCTGAATATAGGGGTCTTAAATAAGAAAATTAGATCCTTTAATTCTGGAAGCCTTTTCCTTTGTAATATTTTCCAATGTAAAATAGTTGGATGTTTTTTCAGGATCTTACAATAATGTGGCAAGATAAAAGAAATTTAGTTTAAAGACATGTTTAATGTTCTGCCTGGGCGGGAGTCACATCTGAGGGTTTAAAGCTTTCAGCCCCAAATTTCCTTGTGTTTCTGTGAAGTTGCAATGATGTGCAATGCTGAACTCCTCCAAAAGCCGCTCCCCAGTTCCCCAAACTCCAGTTTCCATCTCTGTGGGGCCACTGAGGGCAGCATTTTGCTTTTGAGTGGTTTCCCTGCAATCACAACCCTGTCTTCGCCTTGCTCACGGGCTCCTCAGGTATCGTCTGGTAGGTGTGGTGCCAGGACATGTCATGCAGAGGTTAATCAAGTCTTTCCCATGGCAGTATCCTGCCCCAGGCATGGGAACAG